AATCGACGGATGAAATGGAAAAGAAGTAAAAAAGCGCAACAAGAAGCGCGGGCAAACAGTAAAGTCGAAGACGGGGGAAATGTGAGAAGTACCGAGAGAGAAACCGGAGGCGAGCCGAATCCAAATTCACCCAGTCCACAGGAAGATGGTAAAGGAACGCTGCAAGAAACGCAGAGAAACACAACCGAACTTCAGGAACCACTCTATCGACCTTACGTGGTGTAAAACTACGTTGGCAGAAAGTTGCCGACGTAGCGATGTGCCAAAATAAGAACTAACGATAATGTAAGTTCTCTTTGCGCGTCCTCCTGTTGATTAACTCTGCGATGCTGCTACACGATGCAGACGAGTCGAAAGAGTTCTGCACATGTACATACTTGGACGTATACCGGTGTAATAAGTTGCGTGCCTGCGGGCGCGTGTGTATGTGTAAATATATCAACAGCGACATAGAAATTAATCGCTGCTGTTCCCTTCAATCCTTTTCGAAACCTGACAACGAGTTTGTCCTCTACAAACTAACAAGGTGCGTACAAATGTGTTTTTATTCAGAAATACGGCTTAGTAAAGATGACGAAGCGGAGAGAATCACAGTAGGTACTTACTTAGGTTAGGTATACCTAAATATAATAGTTGTATAAAATCACATTGATTAGAGTGCAAAGACTATACGCAAGATGAGTTGCTCTAGAGCTACGTAAATTGAAAACACGTACCTATTTATGATAAATTATATAACTGTAAATAATATTCGTATACGTCTAGGGTAGAAAGTGCGATGCGAGAGAAGAAACGTCATATTGTGTCGCAACAAGTTCCTAAAATAAAAATTACGTAAGAATATCGAAGAAAACGTGTCGTCACTCTGTTTACACTATACACCTGTTCCGGCGACCTGTGAAATTGTACCGGCGATCCTTTAGAATCGCAGATTATAAATCGAGATGAATTTGTGTCGATCGTGAAATCGTACCTACGCAAGTAAGTAAATACCTAAATAAGTAGGTACATAGCTACATAGGCGCATATACATATATACTTACCTATGTACTTAAGTACATAAGTTGACGTCGCTTCTAAACGAATCCTTGCTCTGGTACGAAGGAAAGAAAGAAACGCTCGATGATATTCAAAGGAGAGACACGATCATATGTTTCCCACCAGTCACCGCACGCGAGCGAAGGATCATCAGTATTTATGATATGCTAATTCCCCGTTACAAATTCCGCGATGTTTCGCGGACGACTGCCTTTACCGGCTACAGCCAGTGGAAATCACCCGTTTGGAAAATCAGTCGTCAACGAAGGAATCCCGAAAGGTAGAGGAGAAGAGGAATCCACGTATTTCCGTGTATTGTACAATATGGATGTACTTATATGCGACGTATAGATAGAGGGAGATCGATGCATGGCAGATCGGTCTCGAACCTTTTTAGAAAGGATATTTTTTAAATACGTTCAACTATTTACCTATCATACCTACGCGATTACGAGAAAGAAGGAAAATGCACGTAAGACGTATTTACCTTCTCTCTTTCCTTTTCGTACCTAAACATTAATTACCTATTTAGTACGTATTATCTCTTTTCCAAAGTAAGGTTCTTTCATTTGCCGAAATGATTACGCCTCTTCGTATTATCGTCAGATTCGACGAACGCACGTGTTGAAACGTAGACGATGAAAATCTTGGTTGGTTCGAGTTAAGGATTACGGCGGTCGCGGGGTGTTTCGCGGGACTAACTAGAGGGTGGCGCAAGAGTGGAGCGTGCAGACGAGCACAGAGGCGGGGCACTCATGTTTATATGCATTGTATTGCTAAAACCCTTTTAACCGAATTACATTTAGCGATTCTAGTGCCGCTTTCCTTCCCCGAGTCTGCCAGTGGCCATCACCACACCCCTCGTGCGCTTTTCACTCTCAACTCCCAACCTTCGATTCACCGTTCCGTCCTTTTCCTCCGACGACGACGACGACGACGACGACGACGACGACGACGACGGAGAAGACGACATTGCTCCCTTTTCCTACGAATTCACCAACGAGACCCGTTGGCTCGGATAGTACAGTGGGTGGTAGCCGTGGTGGGGCTGGAAAACCGATGGGGCAGGATTTCGAGACTTGGAACGGCATCCCTGAATTCTTGATTCTCTTGGTAAACAAGTGCTTAGGTGATTCACTGCTTGTTCGCTCTTATCGGCCGTCGTTTGTTTCTACGTAGACGCCATTGCGTTCCGCGATTCTACCTCGTTTTCCGGTCTAATGGCTTTCCAGAGACGAGAACAACGCTCCTATTTCTATTTATTCTCTATTCCCTTTTCGTCCCTGCCTTCTTCCCTTCTCGTCCCCCACTTATTCGCCTCTAGTATAAGTATATATACCAACCTACATATTACGTACGTTACGTAGGTTACGTCGTTTCTCATATTTGCGAGAATGTTACTTGGATCTTATCAACATTTTCGTAAGGCTACGTAAATACTCGTTTATTAGGAACGTTCGAAAGTAATTGGAAAATAATTCTTCCCGGAAGAACAATCGTCGAAGAAGCTATGTCATGAAATCAAAGGTCTGACTTGTCTCGTTCGCGCATCTCGCGGCGGATTCCATCATTAGCACTAACAAGGTTGGCCCACGGCTACAAATGGGGGACTTCACCCTTCGTCGGACTAACCTGTAGGTGTACATAGAGGAGCGCGCTCGCAAACACGTACAGGGATGAGCGCATACACACACCCTCGAATCGTAGCTCGGCACCTCTTTGAAACGAGAGGGGATAATAAGATCTACGACAATCAACTGAAGAACGACCAGGCCGAGAGTGTGTGTCTGTGCCTGAGTGAGTGAGTGAGTGAGTGAGTGAGTGAGTGAGAGAGAGAGAGAGAGAGAGAGAGAGAGAGCACCGCGGAGAATGCGACCTACCGAATAAGCTTTGAGGTGATGTCCGCCACACGTTACGTTCACGTTTCTCTTCGTCCCCATCTTGGTATTACATGTACATATGTATCTGTCAGTGAATTCGGATCTGCCGTTTATAACGTCTATTCGAATATTCGTCTGCTCGGCTAACCTTTACACCCTTTTTAGTAGCAATAGAGATTGGAAATAATTGGTTTAACGTTCGCTATACACGTTACACACCATAGTGCAAGGAAAGTGGAAGGAAAGCGTAGAGAAACTGGTAAAAGGAATAAAACCGGCATGTTGCGAGACGAGGCGTGCAAACACCGAGAAGGGATACCATTAATAAACGGGTTGAATTCTAGGTAAGGGACGCAAGTAAAATTGTGTGGAACATGCAAGGAGCTAACCGCATCGTAATCAATGTAAAATGGCGTCGGAGAACGGGGAACGGGGAACAGAGAACGGGCAACGAAACAGCCTTCGAAAATAGTGCCGCCATTCTTGATTACTATCGATCTCATTTAACAAATACAGTACACCATTCTCTAAATCAGCTAGTCGTTCCTTATTCCAATACTTCAAGAAACAATGTTTATTTTACAGGTCTTCAATGGCAAAAAATTACCGTGTGCACGGTATAAACACCGCGATTATTGTTAAGTACATTTAATAATAATAATCCAAGTATCGAGTTTCTGACTGAACTTTCAATTCGATCTTAACCATCAATTTGACCAATTTAATAAATGGTATAGAAGATTGACTTTATTTCTTCCGAGACTGAAACTCTACCTGTGCGTACTCGTGAGTACTATATACAATGTATCCACTCAGCAAACAACTATCGTTCTTTTCCTCTTTTTATATTGTAGATACGGATTACGGTGCAACTATTTATACTTACACGATCTCTAAATATCTCATCTTTTTCACTCAAGTCGTGATCATCGCTATATAGAAAGATTATACAGGCTTGCTATTTTTTCCTATCAACAAAGTAGTTGCAAGTAACCAACCGATGGTATACACGTTGATTTATCTATTATCTATTTATGCTTGTTCGTTGTCTCCTTCTCCTTCTCTTTTTCACCATCGTTTATCCCGTTATGTATACACATATTTATGTATGCATATACTTAAGTACATATCTATAATATATACTTATTATAAGTCCGAGGCTTTCGGGCCAAAAAGATCCTTACCATTTTCGTGTCGCTAGCAACGTTACCGATTCAGTATAGAACAAGATTACAACATTAGCAGTGGTTGGAATTGGAATTAAACGTAACTGTGAAATTACAAATCAAAAAGTAACGTAATTGTTTATTAGTAGATTACGTCACATCGCATGTGCGTATTCTACTGCTACCGTCAAATGTATTCTGTACTTATATGTGTATCTTTATATGCAGATTTAACAAAAGAGAATTTTTTACATCTGTCGACATTACCATCTTTCACCGCTTTATATCGTAGAGGGTATAACAAATTCTCGGATTTTTTACACGATCGGTAGGTATTTCAGAACGTTGAACACAAAAGTACAGAAGTACTTACGTCAGTTGCTGTTAGGTCTATCCTGTACCTCTTTCACAGAATGAATGTGTTTCAATCATTTGTTTCTCTGTTTCACCCCGTTGATTAAGTAGATTCCCCACGGTCATCCTGTCTAATAGCTGCTGTATCTAAATCTACTAGCTAAAATCCTCCATATTCGACTAATCTATTCATTCAAGCTCTTCCCTTGTTCGATCTATCGATTACTAAACTCGAAGAGTGTGTAATTCTTCTTTGCTTATCGATAGTATAGCAACCATCGTGTTGTCGTGATATCTTTCTAATCTGTCTCCGTTTTACACCACAAATTGCCTTTTTAAATATTCACTTGAAATGCAAATTCTTTTCAAATTCTATTCAAATCAAATTGTACACTTAACCAAGGTACATTTGCTCATCTTTTTTACTAATTCTTTGTAATCGAATCTAATCAATACCAACGATAATTATCGATATTTTCGAATCTAACTGTGAAATACGAATGACTCAGATGGTACGTACAGGGAACAATGAGTCATGTCGAGGTATCGGTTTTAAGTTTCTTCTACATATCACACAGAAAGATGTTCTTTAAATGGTAGATAAGATCGTGATAGTTAATTGACCGATTTCGTTAAAAGATATGGGACTAGTCTTTGTTATTCCTTAACATGAATCAGAAACATCGAGAGACGTTGGATTCATGTTACATGGACATTGTACCTCGAATAAATATAATCAAATTATTGCCAAAACTCCTAGAACACAAAATTTTCAACAGAGATGACGTGAATGTACCTCGGTGGAAGGTAAGTCGATATTTAGTCAAAAATTCACACAATCCTACATTATTATTCTGTCCTTTGATCGTTTCTTCACCCGTCATTTTTTCCATAGAAAAATCTTACAGATGAAACAACTGTACGAGACATATATTTCACTATTAAAACACGAGGTCCATTCGCGTTCGATCGCTTCCTCGCCAGCTTAAGGGAAAGTGATCATGAAGAATTAGCAGATATTTTGGAAGGCAGAAACATTCTATTCCCTAGCAATGATGTACAAAGAAGTATTGAACAAAACAGTGTTACTCATCGAGACAATGGGGAGGAAACAAATTTTATTGCACCCATAGGAGTGTAATGTTCTAAATATCAGCTGTTCCTTTTCATTTCTACCCCAAATTTTTTTTACTTTTATCCTCAACTACTGTATTTTCTTTTTTAAAAAGGACCCAAGATGACTTCTATCACAATATGCAACAATCGGAGACACCTTTAAAGATTCAAGTACGAAAAGCTACAAATTTTTTGGATGGACCTGTGTATGAAAATGTTGAAAGATACCCAATGCGAAGGAAACCTCGCGGATTGGTTCTAATAATTACAAATATCCACTATAAATACTATGGCCAAGTACATAGAAGTTCAGCTGCACATGATGAATCCAATCTGAAAGAACTCTTTGAACAAATGGGTTTCCAAGTTATTTCCTACTTTGATCTTTTATTTATTTATTTATTTATTCGTTCGTTTATTTATTTTATTTATTTTCTCCTTCTTTTCTTTTTTTTTGTTTGAAGGAATTATTGGAAAAAGTGAAAGAATTTTCTCAATCTAAACAATTACGTAAGGTTGATTCTTGCTTTGTTATCATCAGCAGTCATGGTACTGTTAATGTCCAATATGAAGTTACTGAAATAGAAGGTGTGGATTATAGTCCTGAAAGTAAACTGCAGAGTTATACAAGTGTTTTGTGCACGGATATTTTGGACTGTTTTATAGCGGAATCTTGTCCTCATCTTGCAGGCAAACCAAAGATTTTTATTTTTCAATTATGTAGGCAAGTTCCGAAATCGCTACAGAAATTTTTTCCAAAGATATATCAACGATATTCTATTATTTTGTTATTTTCTTTTAGGGGAGAGAAGATACAGAAATCAATTAAAGGACCTAGACATACCACGGATACGTCCAATTTTCATTCGTCCAATGAAATGATCAATCACAAAATTATTCGAAAGGAGACAATTAGAAATTACGAAGACATGCTTGTTGCGCACGCCACTCTTCCCGGACATGTTGCTTTCCGGGATAAAATAACTGGCAGTTGGTTTATACAAATTTTGTGCGAAGTATTCATGAATTATGCGTATAAAACTCACCTCGAAGACTTACTAAATATGGTGAATAAATTTTACCAATTTATGTTATTGCCATATTCTACAAATGGTTACAACATTCACTTTTCCATTGATGTTTTTGTAGGTTGATGTAAGGTTAAAAATACAGAGAACGACTAAAGAGGAATGTCAAACATTGGTGGTAACATCAATAGGATTCAATAAACATTGTTATCTCAATCCTGGTCTGTTCGAAGAAACATGATAGAAACACTTACCGTTAAAGGAAATCTGTAATTTACTTATTTCAA